GAATTCCTATGATAGGTTTCGGAATTCCTACGAAAGAATTCCGGCCGCAAATAAACGATTCCCGTGGGTATGGCTGGGAACACGTGTCTTCAGCCCACCCATGGCTAATCATTGGTTTTCCTGAATTTTTTTTATTCCTATAATTAGTACGTCATTCCTATGAATTCCTATGATAAGTTTCGGAATTCCTACGAAAGAATTCCAGCCGCAAATAAATGATTCCCGTGGGTGTTGCTGGGAACACTTGTCTCCAGCCCCACCCATGGCTAATAATTGGTTTTCCTGAATTTTTTTTATTCCTATAATTAGTAAGTCATTCCTAAGAATTTCTATGATAGGTTTCGGTATTCCTACGAAAGAATTCCGGCCGCAAATAAACGATTCCCGTGGGTATGGCTGGGAACACGTGTCTTCAGCCCACCCATGGCTAATCATTGGTTTTCCTGAATTTTTTTTATTCCTATAATTAGTACGTCATTCCTATGAATTCCTATGATAAGTTTCGGAATTCCTACGAAAGAATTCCAGCCGCAAATAAATGATTCCCGTGGGTGTTGCTGGGAACACTTGTCTCCAGCCCCACCCATGGCTAATAATTGGTTTTCCTGAATTTTTTTTATTCCTATAATTAGTACGTCATTCCTATGAATTCCTATGATAAGTTTCGGAATTCCTACGAAAGAATTCCAGCCGCAAATAAATGATTCCCGTGGGTGTTGCTGGGAACACTTGTCTCCAGCCCCACCCATGGCTAATAATTGGTTTTCCTGAATTTTTTTTATTCCTATAATTAGTAAGTCATTCCTAAGAATTTCTATGATAGGTTTCGGTATTCCTACGAAAGAATTCCGGCCGCAAATAAACGATTCCCGTGGGTATGGCTGGGAACACGTGTCTTCAGCCCACCCATGGCTAATCATTTGTTTTCCTGAATTTTTTTTATTCCTATAATTAGTACGTCATTCCTATGAATTCCTGTGAATTCCTATGATAGGTTTCGGAATTCCTACGAAAGAATTCCGGCCGCAAATAAACGATTCCCGTGGGTATGGCTGGGAACACGTGTCTTCAGCCCACCCATGGCTAATCATTGGTTTTCCTGAATTTTTTTTATTCCTATAATTAGTACGTCATTCCTATGAATTCCTATGATAAGTTTCGGAATTCCTACGAAAGAATTCCAGCCGCAAATAAATGATTCCCGTGGGTGTTGCTGGGAACACTTGTCTCCAGCCCCACCCATGGCTAATAATTGGTTTTCCTGAATTTTTTTTATTCCTATAATTAGTAAGTCATTCCTAAGAATTTCTATGATAGGTTTCGGTATTCCTACGAAAGAATTCCGGCCGCAAATAAACGATTCCCGTGGGTATGGCTGGGAACACGTGTCTTCAGCCCACCCATGGCTAATCATTGGTTTTCCTGAATTTTTTTTATTCCTATAATTAGTACGTCATTCCTATGAATTCCTATGATAAGTTTCGGAATTCCTACGAAAGAATTCCAGCCGCAAATAAATGATTCCCGTGGGTGTTGCTGGGAACACTTGTCTCCAGCCCCACCCATGGCTAATAATTGGTTTTCCTGAATTTTTTTTATTCCTTTAATTAGTAAGTCATTCCTATGAATTCCAATGATAGGTTTCGGAATTCCTACGAAAGAATTCCAGCCGCAAATAAATGATTCCCGTGGGTGTTGCTGGGAACACTTGTGTCCAGCCCCACCCATGGCTAATAATTGGTTTTCCTGAATTTTTTTTATTCCTATAATTAGTACGTCATTCCTATGAATTCCTATGATAAGTTTCGGAATTCCTACGAAAGAATTCCAGCCGCAAATAAACGATTCCCGTGGGTATGGCTGGGAACACGTGTCTTCAGCCCACCCATGGCTAATCATTGGTTTTCCTGAATTTTTTTTATTCCTATAATTAGTACGTCATTCCTATGAATTCCTATGAATTCCTATGATAGGTTTCGGAATTCCTACGAAAGAATTCCGGCCGCAAATAAACGATTCCCGTGGGTATGGCTGGGAACACGTGTCTTCAGCCCACCCATGGCTAATCATTGGTTTTCCTGAATTTTTTTTATTCCTATAATTAGTACGTCATTCCTATGAATTCCTATGATAAGTTTCGGAATTCCTACGAAAGAATTCCAGCCGCAAATAAATGATTCCCGTGGGTGTTGCTGGGAACACGTGTCTTCAGCCCACCCATGGCTAATCATTGGTTTTCCTGAATTTTTTTTATTCCTATAATTAGTACGTCATTCCTATGAATTCCTATGATAAGTTTCGGAATTCCTACGAAAGAATTCCAGCCGCAAATAAATGATTCCCGTGGGTGTTGCTGGGAACACTTGTCTCCAGCCCCACCCATGGCTAATAATTGGTTTTCCTGAATTTTTTTTATTCCTATAATTAGTACGTCATTCCTATGAATTCCTATGATAAGTTTCGGAATTCCTACGAAAGAATTCCAGCCGCAAATAAATGATTCCCGTGGGTGTTGCTGGGAACACTTGTCTCCAGCCCCACCCATGGCTAATAATTGGTTTTCCTGAATTTTTTTATTCCTATAATTAGTAAGTCATTCCTAAGAATTTCTATGATAGGTTTCGGTATTCCTACGAAAGAATTCCGGCCGCAAATAAACGATTCCCGTGGGTATGGCTGGGAACACGTGTCTTCAGCCCACCCATGGCTAATCATTTGTTTTCCTGAATTTTTTTTATTCCTATAATTAGTACGTCATTCCTATGAATTCCTATGAATTCCTATGATAGGTTTCGGAATTCCTACGAAAGAATTCCGGCCGCAAATAAACGATTCCCGTGGGTATGGCTGGGAACACGTGTCTTCAGCCCACCCATGGCTAATCATTGGTTTTCCTGAATTTTTTTTATTCCTATAATTAGTACGTCATTCCTATGAATTCCTATGATAAGTTTCGGAATTCCTACGAAAGAATTCCAGCCGCAAATAAATGATTCCCGTGGGTGTTGCTGGGAACACTTGTCTCCAGCCCCACCCATGGCTAATAATTGGTTTTCCTGAATTTTTTTTATTCCTATAATTAGTAAGTCATTCCTAAGAATTTCTATGATAGGTTTCGGTATTCCTACGAAAGAATTCCGGCCGCAAATAAACGATTCCCGTGGGTATGGCTGGGAACACGTGTCTTCAGCCCACCCATGGCTAATCATTGGTTTTCCTGAATTTTTTTATTCCTATAATTAGTACGTCATTCCTATGAATTCCTATGATAAGTTTCGGAATTCCTACGAAAGAATTCCAGCCGCAAATAAATGATTCCCGTGGGTGTTGCTGGGAACACTTGTCTCCAGCCCCACCCATGGCTAATAATTGGTTTTCCTGAATTTTTTTTATTCCTTTAATTAGTAAGTCATTCCTATGAATTCCAATGATAGGTTTCGGAATTCCTACGAAAGAATTCCAGCCGCAAATAAATGATTCCCGTGGGTGTTGCTGGGAACACTTGTGTCCAGCCACACCCATGGCTAATAATTGGTTTTCCTGAATTTTTTTTATTTATATAATTAGTAAGTCATTCCTAAGAATTCCTATGATAGGTTTCGGAATTCCTACGAAAGAATTACGGCCGCAAATAAACGATTCCCGTGGGTGGGGCTGGGAACACGTGTCTTCAGCCCACCCATGGCTAATCATTGGTTTTCCTGAATTTTTTTTATTCCTTTAATTAGTAAGTCATTCCTATGAATTCCAATGATAGGTTTCGGAATTCCTACGAAAGAATTCCGGCCGCAAATAAACGATTCCCGTTGGTAGGGCTGGGAACACGTGTCTCCAGCCCCACCCATGGCTTATAATTGGTTTTCCTGAATTTTTTTTATTCCTATAATTAGTACGTCATTCCTATGAATTCCTATGATAAGTTTCGGAATTCCTACGAAAGAATTCCAGCCGCAAATAAATGATTCCCGTGGGTGTTGCTGGGAACACTTGTCTCCAGCCCCACCCATGGCTAATAATTGGTTTTCCTGAATTTTTTTTATTCCTATAATTAGTAAGTCATTCCTAAGAATTTCTATGATAGGTTTCGGTATTCCTACGAAAGAATTCCGGCCGCAAATAAACGATTCCCGTGGGTATGGCTGGGAACACGTGTCTTCAGCCCACCCATGGCTAATCATTTGTTTTCCTGAATTTTTTTTATTCCTATAATTAGTACGTCATTCCTATGAATTCCTATGAATTCCTATGATAGGTTTCGGAATTCCTACGAAAGAATTCCGGCCGCAAATAAACGATTCCCGTGGGTATGGCTGGGAACACGTGTCTTCAGCCCACCCATGGCTAATCATTGGTTTTCCTGAATTTTTTTTATTCCTATAATTAGTAAGTCATTCCTAAGAATTTCTATGATAGGTTTCGGTATTCCTACGAAAGAATTCCGGCCGCAAATAAACGATTCCCGTGGGTATGGCTGGGAACACGTGTCTTCAGCCCACCCATGGCTAATCATTGGTTTTCCTGAATTTTTTTTATTCCTATAATTAGTACGTCATTCCTATGAATTCCTATGATAAGTTTCGGAATTCCTACGAAAGAATTCCAGCCGCAAATAAATGATTCCCGTGGGTGTTGCTGGGAACACTTGTCTCCAGCCCCACCCATGGCTAATAATTGGTTTTCCTGAATTTTTTTTATTCCTATAATTAGTAAGTCATTCCTAAGAATTTCTATGATAGGTTTCGGTATTCCTACGAAAGAATTCCGGCCGCAAATAAACGATTCCCGTGGGTATGGCTGGGAACACGTGTCTTCAGCCCACCCATGGCTAATCATTTGTTTTCCTGAATTTTTTTTATTCCTATAATTTGTACGTCATTCCTATGAATTCCTATGAATTCCTATGATAGGTTTCGGAATTCCTACGAAAGAATTCCGGCCGCAAATAAACGATTCCCGTGGGTATGGCTGGGAACACGTGTCTTCAGCCCACCCATGGCTAATCATTGGTTTTCCTGAATTTTTTTTATTCCTATAATTAGTACGTCATTCCTATGAATTCCTATGATAAGTTTCGGAATTCCTACGAAAGAATTCCAGCCGCAAATAAATGATTCCCGTGGGTGTTGCTGGGAACACTTGTCTCCAGCCCCACCCATGGCTAATAATTGGTTTTCCTGAATTTTTTTTATTCCTATAATTAGTAAGTCATTCCTAAGAATTTCTATGATAAGTTTCGGAATTCCTACGAAAGAATTCCAGCCGCAAATAAATGATTCCCGTGGGTGTTGCTGGGAACACTTGTCTCCAGCCCCACCCATGGCTAATAATTGGTTTTCCTGAATTTTTTTTATTCCTATAATTAGTACGTCATTCCTATGAATTCCTATGATAAGTTTCGGAATTCCTACGAAAGAATTCCAGCCGCAAATAAATGATTCCCGTGGGTGTTGCTGGGAACACTTGTCTCCAGCCCCACCCATGGCTAATAATTGGTTTTCCTGAATTTTTTTTATTCCTATAATTAGTAAGTCATTCCTAAGAATTTCTATGATAGGTTTCGGTATTCCTACGAAAGAATTCCGGCCGCAAATAAACGATTCCCGTGGGTATGGCTGGGAACACGTGTCTTCAGCCCACCCATGGCTAATCATTTGTTTTCCTGAATTTTTTTTATTCCTATAATTAGTACGTCATTCCTATGAATTCCTATGAATTCCTATGATAGGTTTCGGAATTCCTACGAAAGAATTCCGGCCGCAAATAAACGATTCCCGTGGGTATGGCTGGGAACACGTGTCTTCAGCCCACCCATGGCTAATCATTGGTTTTCCTGAATTTTTTTTATTCCTATAATTAGTACGTCATTCCTATGAATTCCTATGATAAGTTTCGGAATTCCTACGAAAGAATTCCAGCCGCAAATAAATGATTCCCGTGGGTGTTGCTGGGAACACTTGTCTCCAGCCCCACCCATGGCTAATAATTGGTTTTCCTGAATTTTTTTATTCCTATAATTAGTAAGTCATTCCTAAGAATTTCTATGATAGGTTTCGGTATTCCTACGAAAGAATTCCGGCCGCAAATAAACGATTCCCGTGGGTATGGCTGGGAACACGTGTCTTCAGCCCACCCATGGCTAATCATTTGTTTTCCTGAATTTTTTTTATTCCTATAATTAGTACGTCATTCCTATGAATTCCTATGAATTCCTATGATAGGTTTCGGAATTCCTACGAAAGAATTCCGGCCGCAAATAAACGATTCCCGTGGGTATGGCTGGGAACACGTGTCTTCAGCCCACCCATGGCTAATCATTGGTTTTCCTGAATTTTTTTTATTCCTATAATTAGTACGTCATTCCTATGAATTCCTATGAATTCCTATGATAGGTTTCGGAATTCCTACGAAAGAATTCCGGCCGCAAATAAACGATTCCCGTGGGTATGGCTGGGAACACGTGTCTTCAGCCCACCCATGGCTAATAATTGGTTTTCCTGAATTTTTTTTATTCCTTTAATTAGTAAGTCATTCCTATGAATTCCAATGATAGGTTTCGGAATTCCTACGAAAGAATTCCAGCCGCAAATAAATGATTCCCGTGGGTGTTGCTGGGAACACTTGTGTCCAGCCCCACCCATGGCTAATAATTGGTTTTCCTGAATTTTTTTTATTTATATAATTAGTAAGTCATTCCTAAGAATTCCTATGATAGGTTTCGGAATTCCTACGAAAGAATTACGGCCGCAAATAAACGATTCCCGTGGGTGGGGCTGGGAACACGTGTCTTCAGCCCACCCATGGCTAATCATTGGTTTTCCTGAATTTTTTTTATTCCTTTAATTAGTAAGTCATTCCTATGAATTCCAATGATAGGTTTCGGAATTCCTACGAAAGAATTCCGGCCGCAAATAAACGATTCCCGTGGGTATGGCTGGGAACACGTGTCTTCAGCCCACCCATGGCTAATCATTTGTTTTCCTGAATTTTTTTTATTCCTATAATTAGTACGTCATTCCTATGAATTCCTATGATTTCCTATGATAGGTTTCGGAATTCCTACGAAAGAATTCCGGCCGCAAATAAACGATTCCCGTTAGGTTAGGTTAGGTTAGGTTAGGCTATATACATTATTTTATAACTAGTAGTTAGTTTACAAATTATATTCATTTTTCTAGAATAAAAAAAAAATGGAGTCATCACTTATAACTGAAAAAATCAACGCCATCTTGAGACAACGCAAGGAAAACGAACAAGGGATGAGAATAGCCAAATTCAATTTTAGGAAAAATCTGGATTGTATTAATATGAAAATAGCGAAAGCAAGTTTAAAAACAACTAACAATAAATTAATAGAAGAAAAACAAAAAAGTGGGTGTCGCTCTGCTGTACAGTAGGTTACAAGTGGGTCACTGTATAATGGATGATATTAAATTTGAATTCAACGATATAATAGCATTGTATAAGAAAAACGATTCTGAGCGGAGACGGTATGTCAGTCTAGGTATACGACATATTATATACATATCTATAGTATTAAACAAAACATTTACCTATAATAGGTACCTATAATAAATTCCAAATTAATCATATCACAATATCCATTAGGTACTTATAACGCGTTATACATCAACAACAAACCCTGCTACTATCATAGATATATAATAGTACACTTTAGAAGTTTCAAGTACCCACGAATAATATTATTCAATCACAACAAAATAACTAAAATGGTTATTCTAGGTTTTTTAATATGTAAGTTCTTTTTTTTTTGAATTTAAAATGTCTGTAAAAAATAACTGTGTTCATATATTTTTTTAGATTTTTTGGTTACAGTATGAACTATTTATGATAACCTTTGTTTTAAAGTTGCAATCCTTAGCTATAAAAACTGAACATTTTATAATTTATTAATTACATGATTGATAATTTTCGAGATTTTGATCAATTTTGTCAAAATTCCAACTTTAAATGCTTATAAAAAAAAATCATGCCTATGTATTTTTAATATTTTTCAACTGCTATTGTAACAATATATCAGGAGCCTTGTATTAAATTTTTACACTTTTTGGCCCAACAGATACACCTTTATTGATATTTATAGAAAAAAAAACTAAAAAAAATTGAAAGCTGTAAATGTCCATAAACAGCTCAAAAAGAGTCAAAATATTTTCAAAATTGTATGGTGTATAGAAAATGCTAATTTAAAGATTCAGTGAAATTTTCATGTATCTACAGTTGTTCGTTTTTGAATTGCAACAAAATAAGGAAATCGCTACATGAGTAATCGAGTGAAAATCCAATGTTGTAAAAATTTGAATTTCAAACGCTCATAAAAATTTAATTTGACTGTCCGGTAGAGATTTTTTTATTGATAAAGGTAGATAATCTTATAAGGAATCTTGTGTTTCATTTTCAAATCTTAGATTTAAAAAGAAAAATTTTTACGAATTCTTAACTCAAAATAATTTGCTAATTTTCGTGATTTTTCCATATTTTGTCAATTTTTGAACTTTAAATGCTTATAAAAAAAATTGTGACTAAGGATTTTTAATATTTTTCATCTGCCTTTGAAACAACATATTAGGAGCCTTCTATTAAATTTTCAAGCTTTCGCAACCAACAAATAAAATTTTATTGATATTTCTAGAAAAAAAACTAAAAAAAAATGAAAAATGAAAATGTCTCTAAACAGTTCAAAATAAATCAAAATATTTTGAAAATGTTATCGTGTATAGAAAATGCAAATATAAACAACCAGTGAAAATTTCATGTATCTACGTTCATTTGTTTAAAAGTTACACCAAAAACCAAATTCGATTTTGTCAAAAACCGATTTTGCGTAAAAATTCCCGTTTTTCCTTAATTTTTATGTTGTTTTTCCCGGCGCTTGTGAAAACTACTGGGAAATTTATACTTTTGACCCCCCAAAGTACCAACTAGATTCACTTTCCTATCAGAAAAGCTACTGATGAAGAAAATCCAAGCACTTTTACTGTCCTAAAACGTGATGACAGACACAAAAATATAAATAAAAATATAAAAATATAAAAATATAAAAATATAAAAACATACATCATTGTAAAACCAATACATTCATCGCTCCGCTCAGAATCTAAAATATTACATGAATATAAGAGTTCATTATTCATTGACTTTCTTTGCGAAAAAAGTATTCAAAGAGGGCTCAGCGATTTGTATGAACAATTAGACAGTATATAATAATATATTTACTGATAATATTCTGTTTTTCGAAAAATAAAAATCAATATAAATAAATTATTTTTGTTATTATTTATTATTTTATCTTATAATTATATATCGAATGATATTGTAGTAAATTATAACCTATATCATTTTGTGTATATAATATCTAACGAAGGATAATAAATGTTTTTAATGTTTAATACTGTTCAAGTTTTATAATCGTACAAATAAAACTAATTTAATAAAAATTTAGATTAAAAAAAACGTATCAATTTTCTAACATAATGAGCGTATAAACAATGTACCAGTATTAATAGTTAGTTTTGAAATTCTATGTAATTTTCAGAATCATGAGCTCAGAAATAAACATTATTAAAAGCAGAATTCTAGCAGTAGAACAACAGGTGCGTGCAAATAGACGCTATTGTAACGAGAAACAGAAAGCATTTCGAAAAGTAATTGTAAAAATTAATAATAGTATGAAGAAACATTTAAATTTAAAAATTGAGTTGATAAATGAACATAATAGATTCCAAAACTATTCAAGTGAATGTAAAGCAGATCTTCAGTATCGGTTAACAGAACTAAGCAATCGGTTAAGAGAATTAGAATCTGAGTAATTTCTTATTGTATTAATCAATTTTTTATAATAATTTAGAATTAATACTATTATCATATTTATGAAAAAAAAAAAAAATATTCTAAATTGCTTGCATAAGATTTTTTTTTTTTTAAAAAGAAGTTGATGTTATAATAAATTGTTTCAATATTATTATTATTGCTTATACCCATGTTTTTATTTAATCTATTTTCAGTTTCACAATGAAAAGAAAAACGGTTACAAAACGTCAGCGGATGACATCTTCTGATGAAGGTTTATTTGAAATTGAAAGGTTTAAAAAATGTTCGAAAACATTTGTGATTAAGAATACTTTAGATTTTATAGACTATATGCTTTTTTTTAACTATGTTAGAGATAAATTAATTTTAAAGTTAAAACAATCATGTTTACAATCATCTATAAAATTGAATTTACATGTGGATAGTGTATACGAACGAATAATTACTCAAGAAGTTCAGGACATAGCATTCAAAACTTCTAATACACTTGCATGTAATTCATCCGATTTCAATAAATTATTAAATAGGATGTTTGATAAATTATTATCCGAGCAAGACCAGTTTTTAGCGAAAGGATCTGGGTGGTCCCTTAAGACTATAGATGTATTACAATTGAGAATTAATATAGTGAATCCTCTCAGGGGAGGAACGTATA